CTTATAAAATAAATAATGTTGTTCATAGGTAGTTGAATTTGTTTCATATATCCTACGAATGTTTTCGGCTGTGCATTTTATTTTTCATTAATATCATTATTCATGGAATCCTTTTTTTTTAAGCGAATAAATTTTATAAATTACTCTATGCAAATCTTTGGAGATACTTTTTTGATAATGAAAATTCCTGATAAGATTATAGATTTTCTTACCACTTAACATCAGTTCAAGATTTATTAGTCCATTTCTTATCTTTGATATTTGAAGTGAAATGAAAAAAAAAAATTCCAATTGAGTTGTTATGATAATGTTCTTTAAGCTTTCAAGTAAATTTTTGCTTGATAGCGCAATGCTCTACTATTCCGAGAGTAATAAAAGTTTTGTTAGTCGATTGTAATGGAAAATCATATGTTTGTGCAAGTCTTCAGAAACAACTTTTATGATTTGTTAGTGTAGAAGTATGAGCAAATATCCGCAATATTTTTATTGATTGATCAAATAAGATGACTTGTTATTAATTTCTGTTTTTAGGTATATATATATATATATTTAGTAGTCGATTACTACTATATCAAGATTAGCTCCATGCAACACTAGACAAATATTAAAATATCACATAAGTAACTTGAAGAACTTCAAAAACAATCTGTAATACAATTCTATTACGAATTAATACAGAGTTAAACCGATAGTTCCGAAATTAATTCAACAATTATTTGAATTAGTAGAGAAAAAATCTTTCTAAAGTATGCTTCAATTAGAGGCATAAGCAGATTGACTTAGTCGCCACTGCGACAAAAAAATTAGATATTTAATTTTTTAAAGTTTTCTATGTCTTAAATCAATTTTTGGATATGTTTCTATCTGGTTTCTTGTCAATAAGTTTCCTACTATCAGTTTCTCTTTGTTAATTTCAAAATGCCTCGAAATTAAGAAAATTTTTAAAAAGTTCTTTGAAAAATTTTTCCCGTCGTCGCCAATCAATGCATTCACTTACGTTTCTAGTTCTAATAACATTTTAGATCAGAACACAATAATTTAAAAAAGAATTAATTTGAATAAAATGACTAAAGTGATATATATTATAAAAATTTATTATAATTTTGAAATAAAATTTACGAATGACTCAATGTCTATCAAAACTATGTCTTTAGTAACTTTGATCAATATTGCAATTTCGCTCATAGATAGATCTCATGACCGCTAGAATATTCTAAAAGTCTTCGGTATAGATGGACTCAAACGGTGGGTTACAGTTCTGATAGTTCCTTTGCAAGTAGTAATATAATCAATGAAGTATTTTATTGACAATAAATATTTTGTTCGACTTCGAATATGACAAGGTTTATGAAAAACAAGTATACATGATATACTTCATTTCTCTCGTTTATCTTCTGATGGTCATTGGAAGATTCATTTAATGATTTAGTATCTCTTATCTGACAAGTTATATGAAAATGCATTTGATTCACCGGTAAACATTTTTCAAACTAATTGGTTTTTCTATATCATGCTTTTCAGAAACAAGATAATGAAACAAAATAATTTTTCTTTTAACTAACGGATAGTTCATAAAGTTTTCTATACTCAATATAGAATTTGTTGTGAATCGTATGGTTCTTTTTCAATTGATTAGAATTCGTTTTCATCCATTCGGAAATGTATTCCTTTACGAAGTGTTCTGTCATAGATGCCGAAGAACATTGTAGCTAATATTTCTCTGAAGAGAAAAATACTTTTATAATTTGATTGTACACACTGATTCACATTTTGTTCTCAAGAGAAAATATCATTTTCATCATGAAACACTTGCTAAAGCAAAAAAACTCGATCACGTTGTAATTGGATAATTATAACTTCGAATCTTCTCATTTTTTTAAATAATAGATGTCGTAGAAAAAAAATCGAAATCTCATTCGATAAAGATGGCATTGAAATTTTGTTTTGTTGCTAGGCTTCATTTTCATTTGGATTTTTAAAATGTCGTAAAAAAATTATTATTCCATTCGATGAGTATTTATTTCGATTATTTTCATGATTAACATATTCATACTCAACTTCGTCTTAGTTTAAGGTTTTTTTTGTTTTACATAAAAAGATTTCTACAGAATTTCTACAAAAATTACTTCAAACAAATCAATCTCGTATATGGAATATTTTAAGAAAAATCATTTGGAAATAATTATTTTAGCATTTTATAGAATGCAATCAACAATATTTGAAATTTATAATTTAATTATTGATGAAACAAAAAACAATCATGCTTGAGATACATGTCATTTTCAATATTTAATTAATCAAGCTAAACAGTATGGAACAGTATGATTTGTTTTATCATATAATTTAACAAAAAAACCAGATCCATATCGTTTCTCTTTTCGATATGGTTTTGCAATAAGGTTATATTAATAGGATTATTAGCAAACCGTGAGTGGTAGAGTAATTTCATCCGAAGTAGTGTAAATAATGGTGAGTATTCATTTATTACTGGAAAATGAACTATTATTAACTAACATTCACAAAATTTTTCGACAACTTCAATCTTATTTATTCAATAAACAAAAAGTATTTATCGATCAAATTCGAAAAATTTGTCATATTGTTTATTGTAATTGATTTAATAACAAAATAAAGTTTAGATTTCGATATTTTAAAGATTTTTTTTCTTCTTTTGTTACAGATGAAAAGTGCACGAGATAGTGATTATATACCTGTAAATACTAGTGTTGACGAACAAATAAATACACTTTCATTTAAGCCACATATAACACAACGTTTAACTCAACTTGAACATCCAAAAACTTCACTTGATCATGAAATATTTCATACATTAAGAGAATCATATGATGATCGTTCATCACCAACAGCAAGATCAGTAACATCATTAACGAATATTGATTATGCACTTTGGCTTGAAGCTGGTAAACATGCACATAAACCAACATATGCTAAAAGTCTTGATGGAAAACCACCAATTAATTATAATATATGGAGAAATTATCGTCATTATTATACTGGTATAAATAATAATAGTACACGTCGTGTTCATAGTCAATCACGATTAAATGAAGAAGCAGCATTTAAATATCCAATTATAATTCCAGCACCATCACAACTTGGTGAAAATCATTTAAGACAATTTTTTGAAGCTAATAGAAAAGAACTTTTTCAAAATCAATCTCATTTTCGTATGGCACTTGTACAAGCTGATAATGATGAAAAAATGTTACGTATGTTAAGTTTAAAAAGTCAGCAACGAAATCCACCGATATCGTCAGGTAAAAAAGAAATTTAAACATTTCACATTAAAAGACTTGTTTTTTCTTTAAATATTAAAGTATATATTACAAA